TGCAACCCCTCTTTCGTGTTCTATCTTTCTGTCTAGCATTTCTGACATGCTATCAGAGCGGTTACACTCCTGGCCTGTGGACCCGCCTACTTCCGCTGCCATACTGTCTGTCGCGCGCCCCGTGGCGTGCGATGTTCAAATTTTCTTCCCGCCACGCGCTTAGGGCGCGTGGCGGTTTTCTGCCCACCACACGCTCGGGGCGCGTGGCGGTTTCCTGCCCGCCGCGCGCCCCGGGAGCGCGAGGCGGTTTCGTCGCCCGTCGTGGCGCCCCGGGGGCCCGCGCGCTGTCCCCTCCCGTCGCCCGTCGCGGCGCCCTGGGGGCCTGCGCGTCGCCCCGCCTCCCGTCGCCCGGGGTGGCTCCCTGGGGGCCCGCGCGTCGCCCCCCCCCCCTCCCGTCGCGCGTTGTGGCGCCCCGGGGGCCTGCGCTTCGCCCCCTCCCGTCGCCCGTCGTGGCGCCTTGGGGGCCCGCGCGTCGCCCCCCCTCCCGTCGTCCGTCGCGGCGCCCTGGGGGCCCGCGCGTCGCCCCCTCCCGTCGCCCGTCGTGGCGCCCTGTGGGCCCGCGCGCCGCCCTGTTCTTCCCCCGTTGCAGCGCCCCAGGGACCCGCGCCCCTCCCTGCTTTCCGCTCGCACGCCGCCCCAGCTGCTACCCGCCCCTCCTTGCATGCGTTTGGATCTTGGGGTGGCGGTTATGGGGGTGGCGGGTGTGTGAGCCGCCCCCTGCTCCTCCTCCTCCTCCGTCTCCCACTTCTGCAGCTGCCGCTGAGGGGGGTGGGTGTGTGGGAGCCGAGGTAGTGGTGCTAGGGGGGTGACATGGGAGTGGAGCTAGGGGTGCAGCAAGGGGTGTGTGAACGGGAATTTTGGGCCGATGGGGGAGGTCGAAGGGGGGTGGCCGCCGTGAAGCCAGCAGCTCCAGTCGCCCGTGAGACCGTTGCGCCAGTCGCCCGTGAGCCCGTTGCTCCAGTCGCCCGTGAGCCCGTTGCTCCAGTCGCCCGTGAGTCAGTTGCTCCCACCGCTCGTCTAGCCGCGGAGCCAGTTACTCCAGTTGCCCGTGTGCCAGTTGCTCCAGTTGCCAGTGTGCCAGTTGCTCCAGTTGCCCGTGTGCCAGTTGCTCCACTTGCGCCGTGTGCTAGCAGCTTCAGCTGCCGCCCACCACCTCCTCTCCTCTCATAGTCCCTCCTCCTCCTCACTTGCCCTCTGTGATAGCCTCTAGCTTTGCTTATATTTGTAAACTATGAACTGCTGCTTGTTGTGCTGATCATCCCCCACTTTGACTATGGGGGTTGTCAGAATGTGTCATCTGTCTAGTTTGCAGTGGGGTACTCTATAGTAAATACAACCCGATCAGGGTTTGCTATATGTACTGCCCTGCTTACTAATGCAACCCCTCTTTCGTGTTCTATCTTTTTGTCTAGCATTTCTGACAGAAACGGTTGGTCCTGTACGCGATATTGAGGTTCGCGGTAAAGAGTGCAATAATTTCATTAGACTAACCCCCTCCCCAAGAAGCCCCTCCGCTACGTGAGTGCGTGTAGATCACGGAATCTCCGGCTTCGCAGGTACATTTGGAGGACAGGATGGTTTTCGATGTTGGCTAGGGGCACCCAGCTATCTTCCGTAGGGGTGCGGTTCTTCCAGCAAATGAGAAACTCCATCCTATGGGCTCCTGTTGGGTGACGAGTCTGATGGCTCTGAATTTTCTTGGGGTCAACGATCGGCTCCGATGTGAACGCATCATCGATGGTGGGCGATGGCGTGTAGTTGGCTCACGGTTGGGACGCATGGGCGAAGTAAGTTGACGTGGAACGACGGGCTGATGTACCAGCCGGCAGATAGCAGGTGGGAGGTGACAAGCGTGATCATGTTGCTGATCTTGAACGGGCCACTGTAGCGCAAGCGAAGTTTCGGTACGACGAGCAGGCGTAGGTTCTAAATGTTGAGCAACACGTAATCTCCAGACTGGTACGTCATGGGCCAGCCCGGCGGTGACTATCGGCGTTTCTTTTAGCGATATCATTTGTTTTTTTTATTATTATTATTGCTTCTGCTGCGCGCGTTTGGGCAGCTTGCAAGTTTCTAGCAAACTGTTTCACAAGTGGTGTCGTATTGTCAGGGTTCGGCATCATTCGCACTATGGGGTTCTGCCCATGATAAAGGTAAAACAGCGACTGCTGCGATGTTCCTGACGTGGCGTTGTTCTAGGTGAACTTTATCAGCAGCAACTGTTACCCCCAGGTTGTCGGGTCGTCACACGTGGCGCGAATAATCTGCTCCATGGTCTGGTTCGTTCTCTCAGTTTAACCGTCCGTTCGGGATGGTACGATGAGCTGAACTGTAGACGGGTCCCGAACTGCTCTCACAAATTTTTTTCCAGAATTTGTTGGTAAAATCCATGTCACGGTCACGAAAAATCGCGGCTGGTATCATGTGCAGGCGGACGACGGTTGCGACAAACAGGCGAGCGGTTTCTTCGGCTGAGATCGATTTCCTGCATGCTGCAAAATGAGCCATTTTTGTCAGACGATCAACGACGACCATGACTATGTCGTTACCATCGGGCCTCGCAGGTAACCCCGTGACGCAATCCATTGTTACTTGCTGCTAGGCATGCTCGGGAGGCAGAATTGGCTGCAGCTGACCCGTTTCTTTTTGCGCGAGCTCTTCATCACCTAACACGTGGGGCACGATCCCACGTGGAGCTGTAGCCCCGTCCAGTAGTAATGCCGCTGCAGTTGCTGTCACGTTTTTTCAAGTCCGACGTGACCCTAGGCAATTCCGTTGTGTGCCTCATGCAGTAGTAGTTCCCGTAGCAATGAGTATACCGGTACCCTGATGTGGATTTTCCCAGTTTTTACGTAATAAACTCCCTTAGCCTCTATCGGCTGTTGCGAATTAGCAGTGGTGAAAAATCGGTCGGTGATGTAGTCGGGTGAATATTCTAGTCAGTAGCGGGTTGGTTTGGGCGAGTAGGATGGCATGCAGTTGGGCTCTGGGGCGGGTGAGGGCGTTGGCAATATTTGAGGCGCATTTTTTGTACGTTACTGTGTAGTGGAAATAGGACTCCAGATACTCTAGCCACCGTATTTGCCACGGATTGAGGTTCGGATGGGCGCGAAAGTGATGTAGCAAGCGATGGTCTGTCCGTACGGTCACGTCCGCTCCTATTAGGTAGCGCCGCCATGGCTTGAACGCGTGCACGATCGCCAACATTTGCGGTCGTATATCGGGTAGTTGCGCTCGGGCGGGTGAAGTTTGTGGGACTCGCTGAAGGTCGTTCCCAAAGTCTTGCAACAGTACAGCTCCGACGGTGATGTTGCTTATGTCGGTGATAAGCTCAAACGGATGGTGGGATCGGCGATGTGCAGAATGGACGGCGAGAACAAAATATTTTTTAGGGACGAGAAGGCAATCTGATCTTTCTCCCCCCACGTGTACTCAACCCCCTTCCTCAGCAGGTCAGTCAGCATGGCGATCAGCTTCGCCATGTCGGGGACGACCGATGCACGTAGTTGACGAACCCCAGACAGCTTTGCAACTCGTTAAGGTTTGTCGGAGCGTGCCAGGCCTTAAATGTTGCGATCTTCTTCGAGTCTATTTCCGCGCCGTTGGCCGAAATAACATGGCCCAAAAATTCCAGTTTGACCTATAGAAACTGACACTAGGACACTTTGGCCAGTAGGCCAGAAAGCAAAGCAAGCTCAGGGTGGATCACGAAGTCGCCACACACTCTGAGAACAAGCAAATGGCCACAAGGCCAGTTCACATGCAGATTCTATAAATGGGAACAAGCAAAATAGTGATCACAACCTAGCAAGTGTAAGCATGCAGATATATGTACATAGATCACAGTACAAGCAAAGTCAAGAAGTGAGCAAGTGAGACCAAGTAGGCACAAGGCTTAAAACAGTACACAAACGCTGATGATCACAAGGCTGAAGTGCCTTGGTGAATATATCAGCAGTGTTGGCCCGAGAGGCCACGTAAGCAAGATGAAGCTGACCATGCTGCTGCAGCTCTCGAGCAAGGAAGTAACGCAGAGCGATGTGCTTCGTCCTGTGCTCCAGTCTGTGCTCTTGACACAAGGCAATCATGGCCTTGTTGTTGACGTACAGAACTGGAGGAGAACGAGACGGCTCTCCCAAGTCGGTCAGCAGGTAGGTGAGCCAGCGTAACTCCTGTGCAGCCATGGCCCCAGCGTAGATCTCAGCCTCACAACTGGAACTGAGAACAGAAGACGGACGGGTAGACCGCCAAGAAACAGAGCCGGAGCCAAGGCTGAAAGTGTAACCCTATGACGACCGCTGCGTAGCCAAGTCGTCAACCCAAGAAGCGTCTGCGTGTCCAGTGAGGACATCTGGACCACGTCCTCCAAGCACGAGCCCCATGCCCGATGTACTGCACAAGTAGCGCAAAACCCTCTTAGCAGCCTCCCAGTGCTCTTGTCAGTGTCTCCCGGGCGCAACGTAGCGTGCCGCGATGCTAAAAGGGTAGGCAAGGTCAGGTCGAGTGCAGGTCATCATGTACATGAGGCAGCCCATAAGCTCTGGATTCGGGCCACTCGGCTCTACGGACTCGTCCAAAGGTGGAGCTGAGAGCGAGTGACCGGTAGGCAGAGGAGTGGACTGTGGCGAGGAGTACTGGAAGCGGAAGCGCTGAAGGACCTGCTGCACCATGTGTGACTAAGTCAAGCTAATGGTGTGCCGTGCTCTGTCCTGGGTGATCTGCAAGCCAGGATAGCTGCGCAGCTCACCCAGGTCCGTGCACGTGTGTCTCTTCTGCAGCTCCGACTTCACAAGGGCCAGTCCCTCAGTGTCAGCAGTGGCAAAGATCAAGTCGTCGACGTACACAAGGATGTAGAACGGCGACAGCAAAGTGTCGGTGCATAGAAACAGCGACGGGTCAGCAGTCGAAGGAGCAAACCCAAGAGCCGCAAGCGTCGTCCTCAGTGTGTCGTGCCACTCGCGAGGCGCTTGGCGGAGACCGTAGAGTGGCCGCCAGAGGCTCTACTGGGTGCCTGCAGGAAACGACCCAGTGAAGCCAGGTGGGCGGCGCAGCCAGATCTCGTCGTGCAGGCTATAAGAAAGCTGTGCTGAAGTCAAGAGAGTGAAGCTCGTATTCACGCTGACGACGAAGTGTAGCAGCACCCGAAGAGTGGTTATTTTCGGGGTAAGGGAGATGTTTTGGAAGAAGTCAACTCCCTGTCGCTGACTGAAGACTCGTGCAACGTAATGCGCCTTGAAGACAGGCGGAGAACCCGGCGGCCGCTTCACCCTGAAAATCCACATGCCATCGACAATGTTCGCCCCAGGAGGGGGAATTGCGTTGACATAAGCGCATGTGGACTTCCAGGATGCCATCTCTACGTCCATGGCTGTCTGCCACTGAGAGGGGTAGGGACCCGAAATCGCCTCCGGGTAGGAGCTCGGGGTCGGGGTGTCTGGTGCATCCGGGTCTCCCTCAGGTGCAATCAGCATGGACATGAGATGAGGTACAGCAGCTGCAAAGCACTCAAAGTCCTCCTGCCTGTCCTTAAGGACGTCCGTGCCAAGAGCACACTCACCCCCTACGGACGGAGGACAGACAGAATCATACTCAGCAACAAGATTAGCGGTGTGGTCGAGACAACACGCAGCAGCAAAGTCAATAAGCTCAGCAACTAGGGCAGATGTTGCAGTGAACTCAAACGAAGGGTCAGTGACACCAGTGGTTAGAAGACGAGTGAGAGTAGGGCTGGCAGCACTAACTAAGTCAGACTCAGGGTCCGGACCGTCAGCAAGTGAGGATGCAGGAGGAGACAGCAGGGGGACTCGCATTGGAACAAAGGAAGGACGAAGTGACATATGGTGCATGCCGGGGACAGGAGGAGGACGCTGACACGGAACATGACGACCAGTGCAAACAGCACTAACAGGCGAGGCAGGACGAGACGCAGGCTCACGGCACCCTGTAAGACCTCCGGTCTGCTTAGTGTAAGGAGAAGGAGCAGGCAGGGGGGAGGCTGGCTGTAACTGCGGCTGCGATTGGTCAGGCGGTGGACACAGCAAGGGAGGAGTAAGACCATTAGAAGACGGGAGACCAAGAACATACTGAAGTAGTGGAAAGAAGTACGGTCACGGCCGCACAGTGCCTCTAGAACCAGTATCAACAGCACCAGCACCCCCAGGGCCAGCGCCTCCAGCTCCGGGGTCTCCAGCCCTAGGGTCTCCAGCTCCTACGCCTGCAGCAGCACCAGCTCCAGCAGCTCCAGTACCTCCAGTACGAGCACCTCCGAGACCAGCGGCTCCAGTACCTCCAGCAGCTCCAACTTCAGCGCCTCCAGGTCCAACTCCTGCAGCACCTCCAGCTCGAGCAGCTCCAGTACCTCCAGTACAAGCACCTCTGGGACTAGCGGCTCCAGCACCTCCAGCACCTCCAGGACCAGCAGCTCCAGCACCTCCGCTACCTCCAGCGACAGCACCTCCTGCTCCAACACTTGCAGCACCTCCAGCTCCAGTACCTCCAGTACGAGCACCTCCAGGACCAGCTGCTCCAGCACCTCCAGCACCTCCAGGGCCAGCAGCTCCAGTGCCTCCAGCGCGAGGGCCTCCAGCGGCAGGCCCCTCGGCTCCAGCAGTGCCACTCCGAAGGCTACAGCGCAGAGCAAACCACTCGCGCAGCTGCGGTGGAGAGAGAGGCTCCCGCCGTGACGGGACACCCGTAGGACCTCCAACACCGCCAGGATCAGCAGCTCCAGTACCTCTGGTACCTCTAGCTCCAGCGCCTCTAGCTCCAGGGTCTCCAGCTCCAACGCCTGCAGTACCACCGGCTCCAGCAGCTTCAGTACCTCCAGTACGAGCACCTTCGGGACCAGCAGCTCCAGCACCTCCAAGACCAGCAGCTTCAGTGCCTCCAGCTCCAGGGCCTCCAGCGGCAGGCCCCCAAGCTCCATTAGCGCCACTCCGAAGGCTCTAGCGCTGAGAAAACCACTCGCGTAGCTGCGGTGGAGAGAAAGGCACCCGTAGGACGACCAGCAAACAAAGTACCTACAGGCTCAGCACGCTCAGGCTCAGCACCCCCAGGCTCAGCACCCCCAGGCTCCGCACGCTCAGGCTCAGCACCCCCAGGCTCCACACCCTCAGACTGAGCAACCCAGGCTCAACACTCCCAGGCTCCGCACGCTCAGGCTCAGCACCCCCAGGCTCCGCACCCCCAGGCTCCACACGCTCAGGCTCAGCACCCCCAGACGCAGCACCCCTAGCAGCACCACCCCAAGGAGCACCAAAGTCGACAGCTACCTCACCAGGCTCGACAGGGTCTACTTGGGACACACCTGAGGGAGCAGGACCCTGAGGGGGAAGGGGGTCTACCGGAGGAGGATCTGGTGCGAGGAAGAGCAGCGGGGGGGGGGAGAGGGGCAGTGCGGTAGGGGAAGAGATGGTAAAAGGGAACCAACTCGTCAAACGTGACGTCCTGAGAGGGCAGGACACGGCGCGAGGTGGGGTGGTAAAACCACCAGCCAGGCGCGTCAGGGGGAAAGCCAAGGAAGACACAAGGAATGGCGCGGGAGGAGAGCTTGTCCGCGGAGGTATCGCGGACAAAGGTACGAGATCCCCAGACCCAGAACACCGACGCATCGCCAACCTTTTCCGTCCAACGCAGTGTCGGCGAGGTCTCCGGCAAGGAGACACGGGGTGAGAGGTTGAGCTGATGCGTAGCGTACCGGACCGCAAACGGCCACAGAAAATGGGGGGCAGCTGCATGGATCATGGAGGTACGAGTGACCTCCATGACTAAGCCAATGCGGCGCTCAACAACCCCATTCTGCCGCGGAGAGGCCGGAAGCGTGAACGACTGGTGAATGCCCTCCCCACGACAAAAGTCCCACAAGAGGTCGGAGGTGAACTCACTACCTTTGTCAGAGTGCAGACGCAAGACGTGAAGGTCCGTGTCAAACTGCTCGCAGAGTTGGAGACGGACAGCACGGATCCAAGGGATCAAAATATCAGGGACCTCCCCCTTGCTGCGGAAGGGGAAGACCGTGGTGTAACGCGAGTAGTCATCAACAACCAGCAGAAAGTATCGCTCGCGGCCCTGTCCACGGACGCGGGCTGGGCCCCACACGTCTATGTGGAGAGTCTGCAGGGGAGCAGTTGTTGGGGGAAACGAGGAGGAGTGAGGAGCGGCGCGCTGGCGCCCCTCGACATAGGGAAGGCAGGGAGGGGCAGGCGAGGGTGGGAGGGGAGGCAGAGACCTAGGAAGACCAGAGACAAGGAGACGGGAGTGCATGCCATGGAAGCGTGGCAGGGAGGGGTGACCAAGACGGTGGTGCCAAAGGAGAGTCTGGTGCGACAGGGCGCGACACGAGCAAGGGGCTGCAAGCTGACCTGACGCAGACGCTGACGCAGCTACCTGATCCAGGCTCAGTAGTCAGTGTGTACAGACTCGACCCAGGCCGACAGGTGAACGTGGCCAGGTGACGGCTCGTCCGTGTACACGTGCAGATCGACACACGCTGACCCCCAGGAGTGGTGGTAGTGACCATCGCATCCTGGAAGGAAGGGGTACTCACCAAGTTCGTAGAGAACGAGGGGAGGTGAAGACCTAAGAGTGAGCTGGACGGAACCGCCGGACACGGGAGAACAAGGCTGAACTAGGCCCTCTGAGGGGTCAGCCAGTCTGATAGCAACAGGTACAGGGAGTGGTGTGACTATGGTGCTGTCGCGAAAAAAACAGCGGGAAGTACCTCAGTCAAGCGTGAAGGTGTGCAAGGCCTCAGCAGGCGCAGTACCAGAGAGAGCAGACTCACTAGCACCTAGAGCAGCAGCCTCTAAACCTGGGTCGGGCGGCACACACAGGTAACAGTCACCCTCAGCACTAACAGTCAATGCATACATGGCAGCAAGAATAGTATCATAGTCAAGAGCAAAGATATCCACACCCCGCCTAAGCAGCCCTAGCCAGCGGGGGAGCTCAGCCACGTCGCCAAACTCTGCACGCCAGGCGTCGCTCAGAGAGGAGAAGCAGCAGGACTGTGTGTAACCAACTGTCCCGCAAGTCTGACCAGCCCGATCACCTGTGCGAATGACGTACGGGCAGGGAGCACTACTCCAAGACGCCCCACGCTGAGCGAACCACTCACCACTCTCGTAAGGGTCTCGCGCGGACGCCGCTGCAGCTGCATCTGGCCACCGCCAGAAACTCCCCTCTGAACACCTCCACGGTGTCTGCTACTACGGCCGCCGCCACCACTCCAACTAGCATACTACTCACAAAGCTGCTGGGGCATGAGGGTCTCGCGTGGACGCCGCTGGAGCTGCAGCTGGCCACCGCCAGAAACTCCCCACCGAACAGCTCCACCGAGACTGCCACTACGGCTGCCGCCACCACTCCCATTGCTGCCACTACCGCCGCCACCACTCCCACCGCTACTACGAAGAGACGTTATAGCGGGCAAAATAAGGAGGCGTGCGACCAGCACGGTAGCACGCAGGGAAGGCAGGGCGGCGAGCAGGCACTAGGGTAGGTCGGGGCGGCACACGGTCAGGGAAGGGCGGCGCGCGGCCAGAGCAGGATGGCGCGCTGCAAATAGGGCGGGCGTAGGCAGGGGAGGGCGCGCGGGCAGGCAAGGGCAGCGCGCAGGCTGCAGAGGGCGGCGCGCGGGCTGCCAGGGCGGATGCGACGGGCAGGGGCAGGGCGAAGCGCGGGCAGCAGGGCGGCGCGCTGGCTGCAGGGGCAGCGTGCGGGCAGGCAAGGGCGGCGCGCGGACAGGCAGGGGCGGCGCGCGGGCTGGGGTAGGGCGGACAGGCGATGCGGTGGGCTTGGGTAGTCCGCACAGGTGACGCGACGGGCAGGGGCAGGGCGGACGGGCGACGCGGCGGGCTGAGGGAGCCCGCACGGGCGACGCGACGGGTAGAGGCAGGGCGGACGGGCGACGCGACGGGCTGGGGCAGCCTGCACGGGCGACGCAACGGGCAGCAGGGGCGTATGGGCGGCGCAACGCGACGGGCAGAAGGGGCGCACGGCGCGACGGGCAGCAGGGGCGCGTGACGCGACGGGCAGCAGGGGCGCACGGCGCGACGGGCAGCAGGGGCACGCGACGCGACGGGCAGCAGGGGCGCGCGACGCGACGGGCAGCAGGGGCGCACGGCGTGACGGGCAGCAGGGGCGCGCGACGCGACAGGCAGCAGGGGCGCACGGCGCAACGGGCAGCAGGGGCGCGCGACGCGACGGGCAGCAGGGGCAGGGCGGTGTGACGCGGGGCACGGCGTGCGCGGGCAGCGCAACGCGGGGCAGGGTGTGCGTGGGGCGGTGCAACGCAGGGCAGGGCAGAGCGCGCGCTAGGCAGCGCAACGCAGGGCAGGGCGAGGCTGCGCAGCAGCCAGCAGGGCGGCGCGCGGGCAGAGGAGCGCAACTGGTGGGGCAGCGTGACGGACAGGGTAGGGCGCTACGGGCAGGGTAACGCGCTACGGGCAGAGAACTGTACGGTGGGCCCTAAAAAAACGGTCTTGGAACAGGACCTGCTCTGAAACCATGTCAGAATACTAAGCAAGGATGGATGAACTAGCAGCAGGATGGGTACAAGTACTAGCCCTAGTTTGGGTTGTACCCCATATGGGCTACCCCACTACAGCCTACACAACACACAACATATAAGTTTGACATGATTAACATGCGGTAATCGATGCACATGCAAAATCCCCCGTCCTTTTTTTATGTGAACAATATTGGCGTTGCGAATAATGACGAACTTGGGCGAATGAACTTCTTCTCGAGCAGGTAATCCAGCTGCTTTCGCAGTTTGTCTAGTTCGGGTTGGGTCAGTCGGAACCGTTGCTGTATTGTCGGCTGTGCTCCCGATTCGTACTCTATGCTGTGGTCGTGCGGTCGTTGA